TCTCCTGCCCATCTTAGAAAAAATATTCCAATCTTGATCTATGCAAGAAACGACTCATCTATTTGACTGCTGTGAGACCCATCTTCACGTATGCATCTCCTGTGACAAAACTCGCCACCGTTAATAAACTGCAAATTGTGCAAAATAAATTCTTGAGAATCACTACAAATGCCCCTTACTATGTAAGGAACTCTGTGTTGCATAGTGATCTACGAATTGACACCTTAAAAGATTTCCTGCACAAGAGCAATGAAAACTGTTTTCAAAAAGCGTTTAACTGCAGACAGCTAAACTTTTTTTAAACCTTCAACAACGAAATCCTTGCAGAAGACCCATTTCTACGGCCTTTTGCTGCATTTTCACTAAATGCAGACGATAATCATCCTACTTAATCTCCCAAAACCAAGCAGCATTTGTCGAAGCCACAGCCTGGGAGGTTGACCCCTCCCGTGACCTAGGACTTAGAAAATTTCTATCTCCGCTTTGGAATACTCAGCGCTACTGTAAAGACTGCACATACCTGTACATATTTATTCTGATTTATTTTAATATGTTACTTTTATTTTTATTATATTCAACGTGTGTATATATTCCTCAATAAGCTATTTACAACTTCATATTTCCTGTCAACTAAGCACTACTGAGACTGATGAACTCTGTGCTAAGCCACGCCCAGTGCTCATGAATTTTGGACTTCGCAGCAATTTCACGAACTGTTGGTGAAAAATTCTTGTGACATCCATTCACTAGGACTCTTACCCATTACAGAAAAATATGTTTTTATTACTTAAATGGCAGATATTTTTAAAAAACATGTTTTTTCACAAGTTTACTACCCCAGCCAATGGCATGAACCCTTAGCCATCATGACATGGCTCTACATTTTGACTTAGTTTTCTACGCTTATATTGTATATTTTGTAAATACTCATATTTAACCAAGATTCAATTATGGAACTTCTATCTGAAGAACTATGTTTTATTTTTGATTTTTCATTGCAACTATTAATGCATATTTATATCTGATTTGAGTTTTACACCACCCCTCGATGTAACACTCTTTAGCAGCAATGTGCCACATCTTCTCTTATTATCATATCTCTGTGACACATTTGTTTTGCTTATGTACTTCCAGGAACCCATATTGGATGACAACTGGCAAAAAAACCTGCAATCCACGCAGGCTGAGTCCAGTATATGGAAATGGAATGGAATGCCTGTTTCATTGCTCTTGGTGTGCCGTTCCAGCGCTCATTAGAAGACGTTATTGCGATGCGTGTCATCCAGCAATAAGTACCGTGGTTCCGGGCCATAATGGTTTTTCCTGGATTCTGCAAAGTGGTGACAATGTGAGCAACTGCCGTGGGCGGCATCCTGTTCTACGATTCGGCGGCGATAGACTTCAAGTTGTGGTTCCCGGTGGTTAACTGCCGGGGGCGGCGTCTAGTTTCCAAAGTTAAGCGACGTCAAATTTCAGGTTGTGGTTTCCAGTGAGCAAATGCTGAAGGCAGCATCTTTAATACAAGTGTTTTTCAGGCGATGTTTTTCCAAGCTGTGATTTCCGGTGAGCAACTACCGCGAGAGGCATCCTGTTTCATGATTAAGCGGCGTCAAATCTCAAGCTGTGATTTCCGGTGAGCAACTACAGTGAGCGGCTTTTACCATTTCAAGTGCATTCAAGGTTTAATTTAATTCTTTCAGGTGCTTTGTTGGCCAAAAGCATAGACCTTTATAGTGAAGTGAAATTCAAATTAATCGCATAGTTTTGTTCCATGATATGTTTTTCGTGTATTGAATGCCAGTATTCATAGATTAGGTAATATATTTACTGTATCATTAATAGTGTAATATTCTTTAAAGGAAAAACCCTTGAAGTTAATGAATAGCTAAGTGTAATTTTTGACAATGATTATGTTACACTCTTTAAGTTTCTGATATTGATCAAATTTATTTATTGTATTTTTATTTTTTATATATATTGTTAATAAATTGGTTAAGTTTAAAACTTTTGTCTTCTATGTCTGCACAGTATATAATCTTAGGCAGCTTCTATTGCTATTTTTGCTAAATGTTTTTATAACTTTAAACTCTGCTTTTGCATTGCTTCTTTCCCTCTTGCGCACACAAAATCATTATGCGAATATCTATTTGCAATTATTAAAGCCTTAAAAATCATGTCTGCGATGTTATCGTCATGCGATAATTTGTAAGTACTTTATTTTTTACCACGATATTTTCGATGGCGATGTTTTTAAACTGTGAAGTTTTTGAACTGCTTTATTTTCGACGACAATATTTTGTACCACAATGTTTTAGAACTGTGATTTTTTTCTCTTTCTTCACGATGTATTGTATCATGACGTTTTCGCCTTGCGTTGTTTTCGTCCGTGATGTTTTCGGCTGTAACCACTTTTACCGCCATTTTATTCTGCAAACTGCAAAACCTCAAGAAATACTTAATACGTACCTAAAGGGAGAGACAAAAAATGACAAAAGACCAATCGCATGGACGGAAGTAACCACATTTGAGAAATGTAAGAAAGATCTGTCAGATGCGACGATCTTGTACCATTTTTCATCAGAGGCCCCACTCGCAATTGTAGTTGATGCTCTGACACAGGTATGGGTGCAGCTCTTCACCAACAAGTTGGAAAAGGATGGCAACCTCTTCCTTTTCACTAAAAAAAAAAAAACTATTGTACCTCTAACACAACATATGATAGATTCATACGATAGAGAGCTCCTTGCGCCATATATGGCCATAAGGCACTTTTGACATATGGTTAAAGGTCGTAACTCATAAAAGACTCATTCTAAGTGGCCAGAGGCATTTCCATTAGATATCCACACAGACTGTTGCAGCAGCCTTCTACGCAGGTTGGATCTTCAGATTCGGATCCTCACTCTGGCTAACTACCGACCAGGGAAGGCAATTTGAATCATCACTTTTCGATGCACTAACTAAGTTCCTGGGTACAGCTTGACACCGCACATCTCCATACTATCCATCTGCAAATGGCCAAGTTGAAAGATTTCATTGGCAGCTGAAATCCACAATCATGGCACACAGCAATGATGAGTGGACTGCTGTATTGCCTACAATTTTATTAGGGTTCAGAGCCACTTGGAAGGATATCTACAAGCAACCACAGCAGAAATGGCGTACAGAACTCCAATTTGCCTCCCAGGAGAATTTCTGTGCCCTACTCCTGAAACCCCAGACCCAGTGACTTTTGTCGGAAAGCTTTGCAAAGCTATGAACCCCTCCTAACTCCTACAAATCAACCTCATGGCAAGCAAGCAGTGACACCTGCAATCATGTTTTTCTTTGAACAGATGTGGTGAAAAGAAGCCTTCAGCCGCCATATGAAGGCTCATATGCTGTGATCAGTCGAGGCGACAAAGTTGTCACAATTTCCATTATGAAGCAAAGCTAAAACAGTAAGCATAGATCGGCTTAAACCAGCATATGTCACAAGAAAAGATACTGAAGGCTCACCACCCGCAAACAATTGCAGAACTTCCGTCCCAGCAACAAAGGATTCACCGCAAAATCAGATGCCCACGTCGGCAGCAGCTATTCCTGCACTGAACTGTGAACCACTGGCAATGGTAACTCACTCTGGCTGACGCATAATGCTTTAGTCCCCAGCATAGCTAAAATCTCGCTTTCGCTGGTGGGGGGCTGCCTGTAGCACCATACTATATTTCTTGAAAGGTGCACCTTGGATGAAGACAAAGGAGAACAGGTGGTGACGCGTGTCAAGGAGAGGAGAAAGCAGTCAGGCGTCGGCAAGGTACACTGATGCTCTGGACTTGATGTTCTGAGGTATGTGGTAAAACGCTGCTGTACGTTTCGATTTAGAAATACTGTAAAGTTCTTTCTGTACGCTTAAGTAACTTATATGTAAAAATGAATATGTAAAAATAAATTCTAACTTGAATATGGATAAGTTGCATCTTACTTTATAAGGTTTTATCAAGCATTCTAATATATATTTAGTAGAAACACCTTAAACTGACCAACGAACTACAAATGATGATTCTCTTTCTCTTACACTTTAATTTCCAGCTTTTCCCACCACCTAATCTCTAACAGCTATTTATTTGCATTGTGAGTTTAATATTATGATATTTGTTTTGAAATTATTTTAAGTTTCAAGTGTTATTAAGATTCATTTGATTGCCTTTTCTACAGAAATGCTAACACTTTTTCCCAAAAAAATTTATGGTAATTGCTTCATCTACTTATGCTACTTTGAAAGGTTTCAGAACAGCACTCCATTTTTCTGAAGCATGAGGAAATCACAACAGTGGAAAGTTTGAAATATTATCAGCTACCCAGAATATAACACAGAGACACGAAGCAAGGAAATAAATTGGCAAAATAATGCTGAATGAGTTGCTTACAATAGAACTGGAATAAATTTTTGATTAAAAACGTAATATAACAGATTCTGTATTTATGCATCAAAATTCTATACATCAGAAATATTTCAGCAGTAAAATAACACTCAGTATTTTTGTTTGATATGAAGTTAAAATTAGCTCTTTTAACCCAGGAGGTGTTATATGTGTTCTATAGTAAACTTTTTATGTTTTGTTCACAGAAACTGATCACATATCTTTTAATCCTTCATAGAATCAATAAGGTTTTAAAAATCTTAGAATTTATTTCCAAATAGCAAACAGAAATTTTCTGCCTAACCACATGGGAAAGGTAGGAAACTTGTTTTTATTATAATAGAAATTATTGAACAGAAGTCAGAATTTAAGTAAATTTGATCAAAATTATAATTTATTTCTCTCACTGAATAAAATAATAATTTATTACCCTGGAATAAAATTTTGCCTTGGAATCATAGAAAATTGTTTCAAATTTAAGCCTGTTCTTTTACAGAATTTCCATGGCCAAATAAATCACAGTGATAATTTATTATATGTCGTCATCAATTTTCTAAAATGTTCCTTAATGGTATAAATATGAAATTAATAACTTACTGATATATCAACTTTTGATTCCATGGAATTTTCATCTGCACTTTGAGGTTGTGAATAGTTATAACTGAAGTCATCATCACCATCAGGCATATATACAGGAGGTGTGTGTGAGACTAAGAATGTACTTGGCTGTTGACGAATAACATTACGACGAGGCTATATAAGGAAGAAACATAGCAAATACAATTTTTTTTCCCCTTGAGGTAGCAGTTAAACATAGTGATTTATCTCCTAGATTTATATAAATATAATAAAACTGCATCATCTTAAAACAATGTTTTTCAAAATACATGTTAAAATTTATTTTTCTTTGCTTAAAAGATTCCTATTAAAAGTATTAAATGTTATAAACATACTATAAATGTAATGTTTCACTCAAGTACAACTGACAGGTTACTAGTATTTGATTTTAACAACTTCGTTGAAATATCAAAACTGCTAAATTGCAGGCTTTTTATCTGGAAGCATTAACCCAGCATTTTTATCTGGAAGATTTAATTCCTAGTTATGATGCACATGGAAGAACACATGAGAAGAAAATGTCATCTCTGTATTTGGATTATATTTATATTTGCCTTCAGTCCTCGGTATGTTCTGACCATATGCAACAAGAAAAATCAGAGCAAAACTGCTGGCAAGTAAAGAAATATGTATTACTAGTTGGTGCAACTTTATACCATAAAGAACTCTGAGTTGAAACAGTAAAATGACTAGGCTGTGCATGCTTTAATAAATCAATTTTGAAAAATTAAACTATTTTTTTTTTAAATTTTAGCAATCAAAATGAAAGAAAATAAAGCTTAGCTTATAGGCATTAACTAATACAGAATTTACTTAGTAACTAATTTCATAAGATCTACAGAAAATTAACGATTTCAGACTAAAGAACATTTATTGATTACAAAAGTTCAAATCTAAATTTATGTGAAATGAAGTTAATAAGTACAATTTCAGAGAAAGATCAGGCAAAACCTCTGCACCCCAAAATTAAAACCATTAATAAAACTGACTCGGAAATTACCAAGCATTTTTTTCCAGCAAGAGTGAAGAATTTTTACTTGAAACTCACTTATATTTATAATGCGTAATCCAAAACTTTTCTCTTTGAATACACCATGAACCATTATGTTTAATCCGTTTTGAAGAAACTGCCTTTCATACTCTGGAACCAGTTTAAAAATACCACTTTGAAGATCGGTAAAAGGCATTTTGTTGTTTTGTGCAATCTCAATGGGTCCTAAATTCTGTTGTCCTGGACCTTGCTAAATTTAAAAAATTTGCCATCCCTAAGTTTTGCTTCTTATCACTTCTCTAAATTATAAAAAATTACTGTCACTGCATCGATTCTGATTCTAACTCCCAGTATACACCTTATCAGCTCATACTAAAAGTCCAATATAGCCTTCAATCATACATAACACTGTTAGACTGGAATCAACAACTTTCACAGATGTGTTTCAAAGACCAAGATGAAAAATGAATATAATATAATCATATATTCAGACTACAAATATTTCCCATTTAAAAACATACAATGCTTTCACGGCCCTGGTAAGATGAAAACATGCAACACTGTTCAGTACAAATCCTTTACAAGGGTTATCAAAATGTTTCACATATGTAAAGCAAAAGGTTCACTGTATTGCAAGTGAAAGAATGAACTACGTAATAGCTGATCAGTTAGTTTTGTACAGCCGAATAAATACCGGGTTGTTCAATAAGTTCGCGGAACGGAAATGAAGAAACCAATTTTTATTTGTAAAAAGGACTTTATTTTTCAACGTAGTTTCCCTCAACTTCAATACACTTATTCCAATGGTCTTCTAATTTATGCATCCCTTGACTGTAGTGGTTTTTCGGGAGCTCTGCAAAACATCCCTCCATGGCAGCTATTACCTATTTGTTTGAAGAAAATCATGTTCTACGGAGATATTGTTTGAGGTGTGGGAAGAGCCAGAAGTCAGAGGGAGCTAAATCTGGCGAATAGGCTGGATGTTGCAACAATTTATACTTCAATTCAGTTATTTTAGCAATGGTTTTTTGAGCTGTATGCGCAGGTGCGTTATCTTGGTGGAAAATGATTTTCTTCTTCTGTAATTCGGGTCTTCTTTCACAAATTTTTTTCGTCTTAATTGATTTCAAAAGGTTACAATAATAATCTGAATTAATTGTGCTTTGCCAGTTTGAAAGGTAATCTATAAACAAAAGTTCCTTTCGCATCCCGAAAAAACTGATGCTAACACCTTTCTTGGACTGATTTTTGCACACAAACTCGCTTTGGCCGAAGAGCCGGGTTCACACCACTCCTTAGCCTCCTGTTTTGATTCAGTATCATAATGGCAGACCCAAGTCTCATTCATTGTGATAAATCGACGGATAAAGTCGCTTTTATTCTTCTTAAAAGGCTCCAAATGTTGCTGGCAAAGTCACATCCGAATGTGTTTTCGCTCCATCGTTAGAGAATGCGGCACCCATTTTGCACAGAGTTTTTTGAAACCCAAATTAACACTCAAAATATTCCTCAATGTGCCCAATGAAATGCCTAAAGCCTCTGTTAAATCTCTTTCAGTCAATTGACGGTCTTCCAATACCATATCTTGTATTTTTCCGATGATCTCCGGTGTTGATGCAGTTTTTTGACGTCCTTCTCGCGGATCGTCTTCAAGACTGGTACGACAACTTTTGAATAAACTAGCCCACTTGCAAACCATTGTTTTTGAAGTAGCGGATTCACCCAACACATTCACCATTTCGGTATGAATTTCCATTGCCTTTAAACCGTTCTACAAAGAATTTGATAACTGCACGTTGCTCAATTTTATCCATACCTGAAAAAAGCCACAACACGTTAGATATAAAGGGCAGTTAAATAATGAATAAATTAACAGATCGAAATGAAACGTTTGACGTGTTCCTAAGAAAGACCAAATATGAAAATGGCATCGAAGTTTTAGGTCTAATATTGACGAATAGATGGCGCTCCGCGAACTTATTGAACAACCTTGTAAACAAACAACAATTATATATGGCTCTGCTTTTGACATATTTATGGCACTGAGTGCAAGAAATACCTTTCTAATTACATGAGTATGGTCTTTTATAACAGCTTATACAGAATACATTACATAAAGATACAGTGTTAATAGAATAAAAATTTTTTATCTATTCTATAAAAATATGTTTTTTCTTAGTCCATTCTTTACTTTTGTCAGAGTCAAGACTACAAATGAAGTTATGAAAATGGTGAAAATTTAAACCGATTTCATTAAAAATCAAATTTTTAAAATGAGAATGAATATAATAAATTTAATATCATATTTTATTTTAAAATAACATGCTTCTGACACTGGTTATATGAAAGACAAAAAGATGAAGAAATTCCTGCTACGTTAATTTATCATATCTGAAATGATGAAAATAATTTAAGTATCAGTATGAAAATAATTTACAAAGTAAGGAGAAATGTCATCATTTTTATCATTGTCAATCTGAAAGAAAATGCAAACAAAGAACATGTCTGTTTGAAAGCTCTATGACCTAACAGCTTCAATTCATTTTAAAGAAATTACTGCCTGTTTTGAAACAGTAACCCTAAGAGACCAGCTAACTTTAAAGTAAAATAATATCCGTCTGGTAGTAGTCTTGTCTGCTGCATTAAATAGCCTCAATATGGCCTCTCATCATATCATTATATAGCTAATCACCATAGATCCAAAATTTCTAGGCAAATCTAGATTTTTATGTCTCTAATTCAGAAATTAAGAAAATGCATAACAACCAAAAAGAGCACTTTAATGAAAACTACTCATGCAAAGGGATGACCTGAACTGTACAACTAGGGTACAGTACAAAATCCAAGATTCCGGAGTCGCTGGGATTTCAGTGATTTCGGATAACTGAATTTTAGACCAACAATTTAAATCTAGTAAGACGACGTATAGAAATTCTAAAATAAAAAATGGGAAATATTTGTTTAGGATGTAATAAAGTATTTATGAGCTTAAAGGAATCAAAATTAAAAAATAACTTTAAAAAAACATAATATTTATTGGTTTGCCTTTTTAAACATTTCTTTCAATGCAAGTTGTCCAAGTTGCTTTGTTTTCTGCACTAACTTTCTTTTTAATTTTATAAATAGACATAATTTCTTGTTCAGTTACAAAGCTCCATTGTTCGAGTCCTGTAATTGCTTGTGCCAAGAATTCCCATTAAACAGTCAATCGAAATCTTTTCCTTCTAAAAATCACTTAGTCACTATTAGTAGCAATATCTTCTGGATTTAACATCATACTACAGATTTTACTGTCTGTTAGTTGATCATTGATTGGAGAGTCCTGTAATTGCTTGTGCCAAAATTTCCTATTAAACTGTAAACTGAAATCTTCTTCCTCTAAAAAAATCCCTTTTGTCACTATTAGTAGCAATATCTTCTGGATTTAACATCATACTACAAATTTAACCATCTCTTAGTTGACTGCATACTGACATTGTCATTACAGTGGAAAAGGTCCGTTAGATTATCTTCATTTATTACCACTTCTCCACATTATTTCCCAAATTCCATTAATTGGAAAATTTCACCTTCTATAGCATTTAAAATCTATGCCAAAATAAGGTTCCTGTTTTTGTCTAATTTTGAAACTGAACTTTTTTAAGCCTTTAATATATCAATACCGTTTTCTTGTACACTGCTCAAAAAAAAAAAAAAAAAAAAAAAAAGGGGGGGGGACAGTTTTATATCTCTCGTTCTACTGGGCCAATTGACAAAATACAAACTGCGTTCTTCATGTCTCGAAAGCCCGACTTAGGATATATATTAGATTTATATACAGCACTATTCTAACAATTTTGACACAAAATCAGACTTTTTCTGAAATAACTTGCCAATTTTTTTAACATATTTCGATCCTACAACTCAATTTATGCCTAAATATGAAATTTTGTAAAATTTGGAGAGAAATTTATGGAGAAATTCACAAGTTTATGTTGGCATTTTTTTATCAGTTTGTGCCAAGAATAGTTCACTTGGCGAACTTCTTAATATATGGCTACCTAGTTTCCTTTCCCATGAGAGGGAAAAAAGTCACAACCGTTCCTTTTTCCAAATAATATTCTTTAGATTATATTTTTAATTATCACTGTTATTATTTTAAGTA